CAAAAAAAGGAATTGGTACAACACAATACCACAATACAAAACAAAAAAAGGAATTGGTACAACACAATACCACAATACAAAACAAAAACCTGGAATTGGTACAACACAATACCACAATACAAAACAAAAAAAGGAATTGGTACAACACAATACCACAATACAAAACAAAAACAAAATTTGTACAACACAATACCACAATACAAAACAAAAACCTAGAATTTGTACAAAACAATACCACAATACAAAAGAACGGAGGTGCCGGTTGGCCGTGAAAATAAAACCCAGAACTTTTCCAACCCTGTGGAATCACACACACACATACATACATAGGTACTCCCAAGTTATGGGTTCTATTGTCGAATACTTTGGGTATCAAGACTATTGTAACATGCACTGCACAATGCAGACAGTTCTACAAATCTGACTCTCCAAATTTATCCGGAAAATTGGCACTTCTAAAAGCAGGGCGAACAGAAAAACATAGTTAACAAAACAAAATGAAAAGAAAAACATTGTAAACATAGTTAACAAAACAAAATGAAAAGAAAAATATTGTAAACAAAAGTCAGCTTGATCCTCTGTAGTTGTTCTAGAAAAAATGCATCTCTCTTTCCGAGGTTTTCTTCGGATGGGTACTTAGAACACATGAATGTGAGTGCATGAATCAAGGGCACTGGGATCTAGTTGGGAACTTTCTAGATATACAAAACCAACAGAATGAAACAATTTTTACAGTCTTCCTGAACTTCATGTAGTAAAGTGGAGTGTGCATAAGTGTCAACTTTTTTCTGTCTCTTTGTGAGTGTGTGTGTATTCCTGCGTGTGTGTGTGTGTGTGTGTGTGTGTGTGTGTGTGTGTGTATTCTTGCATGTGTGTGAGTGTGCGTGTGTGTATGTCTGTGTGTGTGTGTATGTCTGTGTGTGTTTGTGTGTGTGTGTGCGTGCGTGCGTGCATGTGCGTGCGTGTGTGTGAGTGTGTGTGTGTATGTGCGTGTGTGTGTATGTACATATATGACTCACCCCTGCCCACGCCCGTGTTTCGTCGACTTGTCTCCGTTGTTCTGACTGGAATGAGTGGGTGAGGTGGCCAGGGAAGAGTTGATGGACGTACTGCTGGACGCATCCTGGTGCTCGTTGTATTCTGGGGGGGGAGAGAAAATTTAGTGTTTTTTAGTTTTAGTGAAAGTTTTACAGCACTTGCAACACAACAAGGTCATATAAGTATCAAAGAATATATGTGTTCTAGAGAGTAATATACACACACAAAAAGGAGGAGAGATAAGGACGATAGATGTTTGATAGGAAAGAAGGAGGAGAGATAAGGACGATAGATGTTTGATAGGAAAGAAGGAGGAGAGATAAGGACGATAGATGTTTGATAGGAAAGAAGGGGCAAACCACACACCTTTAGTAAGTGTTTTACAACAGTTGCAACACAATTAGATCATATATGTGCCAAAGATTAGAGGCGCTACAAGACAGTAACATACACAAAAAAGGAGGAATGATAAGGAGGAGCCACGTTTTAGTTTTAGAAAGTGTTTTACGGCACCTGCAACACAATAAGGTCATATATACATGCCGAAGTATACATGTGTTACAAGAGAGTGACAAACAAAAAAAAGAAAGGAGAGATAAGGACGATAGATGTTTGATAGGAAATAAGGAGCAAACCACACCAGAACACCCGCCAACCACCCACACCACCATCACCCACAACAACAACACCCACAACAACACCACCACCACCAACAACAACAACAACAACTCACTTTCAGGGTTATACTGGACCTTCATAGTCAGGTTATCCCCACACTGCCGGAGTACCGTGGTGGCGTGGTCGTAGTTGGCGTTACGCATGTTGATCCCACACACCTGTCCACACACACATGCAAAATACACACTTTGTCACACACACACAAAATACACAGTTTATCACACACATAAAATACATACTTTGTCACACACACACAAAATACACAGTTTATCACACACATAAAATACACACTTTGTCACACACACACAAGTTTTAGTTTTAATAGAAGTTTTACGGCGCTCGCAACTGCATAAGGTCATATGAGCGCCAAAAGATTAGAGGTGTTACAAGAGAGTAACAATTATTAAAAAGAAGAAGGGGAGATAAGGACGATAGATGTTTGATAGGAAAGAAGAAGCAAACCACACCAGAGCACCCGCCAACCACCCACCCACACACACACAAAATACACACTTTATCACACAAACAAAAAACACAATCACACACACACACACATAATACAGACCAAAACACACACACACACGCACAAGAGCAATACTGACTGAAACACACACGTACACACATAGCTGTCAACTATTTTATTTTAAAAAGTCTGCAGCCATGCAGTGGGTCAACGATCTATGACCCCCACCAACTGGTCCCCAATG